ATATATATATATATATATAAATATATCGGAGATCGTGCAGCTCACACATCCAGGAGAAAAGAAACTTGTCAACGCTGCACCACGACTTTTATTAATAACAGTTTAAATACTGAATCGCTACATTATATTTTCCAGCAACGAGAGGATATAATCGCTGTTTTTTTTTTAAACGGGCAGCCATGTTGCCGCTGAAGCCGGTTTACAGTGAGATAATTCATACCCCTTCGTTTGAAGTGTGGTCCCGAAAAATCATCGTTTGAAGGGCTGTCTGGCCCTTACCCTTACCCCTACCCCTCCAACCAAAAGAGAATTGAGACACCCCTACCCCTTCACGTGAACGCGCGAAACGGAGGGGAAAGGGGAAGGGCTAAGGGGTAGAATTGGGATTGGGCCTAAGACTCAGAAGACGCAATAATCTTTCAAATCCTGTAGGGTAGTGGATGAATTCAAATGGGTCAGTACTTTTGTCGCTGACTGAGATCAGAATTCTAATAAGCCCAATCAGTGCTGATATTCATTCAGAGCATGAAACAAACTGAACACTGATTGGTGAGATTGTTCTGATCTAGGCTTGAGGCCCATGTTTGTTCCGCTGCTCATGCTGAACTGAGTCACACTTCTAGAGCCATTATATAATATCAACATAAGACCAATGTAAGACAGTCACTTCTAGCCTGCTGCAGTTATGAATAAGTATTAGAACAGAGACTGATTATACTTTATTGTCAATAGATATACAGTAATTTCTGATTTCCACACAAGACCATTTTTATTATTACAGTGTTTTCTCTGGAATTTTGAAAGTTAATTTATGTGTACAACCTTAAAGCCTAGGCTACAGAAACTGTTGAAGGGGTAAGTTGTCACAATGGAACCTGACATTAAACAATGAATTATAAGCTTTACAGCAAAAATTGGGATTGGGCCTAAGTGTTGTTTAATTCAAAATCTCATGTCTTGCGTTGGCTGAATTGACACTGTGATGTACTCAATGAAGGGAGGATACAGGATATCATCTAACACTGCAGGGAACATGTCAACAACTTGAGTCAACAACTTGGTCTCTTGGGTCGCGTAACCTTACTGTCCTCGCCCTACAATGAACAAAACAATCTGTAAAGCTAAACTTCAAAAAGGAGGTGTTGAAATGAGGTACTGAATAAAACATTTAGTGTCAAAAAGGAGGCTTAAATCTTAATCTGCACAACGTGACCTGAAAACGTCTTCCGAGAATTGAGGTCTCATGGTAATATGACAGTTCAAGATTGCAGGGGACACATTTGGCACATCAGAGTGCAGTAGGATGCACAGCTGTCTGCCAACAAAGTTAGCTAACAGTGAGATTCACACAGTAACAGGAGAGCGATGGTAATGCAAACCACAAGACTGAGGCACAAGGCTGTCCCTTCAGCTGCACCTGTTTGATGTGTTGTTGGAAAGCAATCACACAAACAGATATGGGGTATTCGACCTAGTGAAATTAGTCTGTTTCACATTTGGGGCAGTTAGTAGTAATTTAGGTGACTTAGGGTGTGTTCACAGTTCACACTTGTAGTTCGGTTCACTTGGTTCATTTGGTCCGGACTAGTGTTGTCAAAAGACCCGGTACTTCGGTACCAAGTCGGTACTAAAAAAATGAAAATGTTATGGTACCAGGTTTTTTTAAGTACCGGTGGTACCGAGTACCCGGTCCTTGATGCACTATCCGAAAGGTGCGCAGATGCGCTCTCTTCATAAAAGCACTGAGAC